GCAGAACACTGCAACCTCACAGTCGGATTCTGCACTTATGTCACGACCGTGCGAGTATGATTACGTCGTGCTCTTGTGCTCACATAAGAGGCGAGATGCCCGTTGTGGAATCACAGCGCCGTTGATCAAGAAAGAGCTTGAAAGACATCTGCGTCCTCTTGACCTATATCGCGATGCACATGATGAGCGCCCCGGGGGCGTCGGGATATTCTTCGTCTCACATGTCGGTGGTCATAAATTCGCAGCCAATGTCATGATCTATCGCAAGAAGGAGCAGCAGATGATCTGGTTAGCGCGGGTCAGGCCGGAACATTGCGAGGGTATTGTGAAATACACCCTTTTGCAGGGCAAAGTGGTACATCCGGAGAGTCAGCTTAGAGGAGGGTTTGATCGACTTCGAGGATTGACGAGTTGGTGATTGGATGATGGTAGAGTGATTAAGAACCCTTAGCCTTACTAATGTAAATGAAAACTGGAATAACAGACGAGGAAATAACCAGGATGTCTTTCACGTCAGCCACGGCCGAGCGATCCTTCAGCTTCGGCGTTCCTACGCATCACAACACGGAAGGCCCGGGGGACTAGGGCTGGCGGAAAAGGCTTGCTGTCAGGCTTGCAATCTGACTCGCTCGTAGATCGTAGCCTTGTTGTCAAAATTCGGCAGACTACGGAGTACGCCTTGCTGACTCTAAGCTTAGAAATCATCCCTGTTTGAATATGAGGCCCTTAGGCAACGAGATTACTGGAGTGAGTATAGTGACACAGGGCTATACACGGGCTGAAATAAGGTAGCTCCATTTATGGTATGATTGCCGTAAAGGACAACGCCAGACAGTAGCGCTCCGTGGTTGATTAAGGTGGATTTCCGGCGTTATTTATTTATCGATGTTTAAAAGAGATGCACCCGTCTTATCTAAGGTAAATAGACTTAGACTCTAGACCTCCAGTGACACCAGTGATAGAGTCGAAGTTGAGCGGATCGAGTAAGACGGCCGAGGACGATCTGGTGCCTGAGACCCTGAAAAGGCCTCACTCCTCTCCTAATACGTCAAACAAGTGAGACCTTTGCGGAGGGGATTGCCCGATTCGGTTAAGAAGCCCGGTGGGCCACACACGTAAGCTGCTGAACCGTTTCCGCTTGTTCCCTATGAAAAGCCCCGAGCCTGCGCCCGCTTACTGGTAAGTTTCGAGAAAGGGGAAAAAAAAAGAAAAAGAATGACAAAGGAGAATGAAGCATCGTTGGAAGTCGTCGGTTTCAACATAATAATGACGATAATGTATTATCGATCATGACAGAAATCCAGCAGAAAATGGGGCCTCCAGACCCGGAGCAGCCCCAACCACCAGAGCAACGCGTGCGCAAGAGACGCAGACGCACTATGGCCTGCACGCAGTGTCGCAGCAGAAAGCTCCGGTGCGATCGTGAATATCCCACATGCGGCCGATGTCTGAAGAGCAAAACCCCTACCAAATGCACCTATGAGGATGGCTTTCTGTGGCAGCAACCTAATACAGTTGCATCGCCCGTCTTCTCCGACCGAGGTTCCACAGTACTGGCTCAGATGCCCCGAGTCGATCGGGCGCCCGCACTCACTACCCCGGACTCGGGGATAAGCAGTCTGCCGCCTCGGCCTCAACCACCGCTGCCATCTACACCGCATGGCCGTCATGGAGAAGAGAAACGAAGCTTTCTGGAGACCGTTCTCGGGGCTCCTAAGGCGGGTGTCAACCAAGAACCATATGTGAACACTGAAGTGCTTCAGCGGCCCCGGCATGCTCCTGAGGGTCGGCACGAGGCACAGCCACAGCCGTTGGAAGACGACGACGAGCTTGCATCTCCTTCGCAGCAGCTAGATATCCTGCCGCGTATAATGATGCGAGGTAAGGAGACCAAAACTCGGTTCAATGGGTCGGGCATACTTGCCAACTTGATCGCGCAGGTAAGTTCCTGCCATATGCCGTTGAGTTTCTTGCTCGTTAATGCTGTAGCAGTTCCCAGATATCAGATCATTTGCGGAGGAGGTGCGACTGTCGAGTCCGAACCTTACACAACTGCGCTTCGACCTGGAAAGGGTAAAGCGGGGTCTGTGGAAAAGAAAGCCGCTGAATGAGTCGTTCCCAGTGCCCGACACAAAGTCGCTCATCGACATGCTACCCTCCCGTCGAACTGTTGACGAACTAGTAGTCTTGTATCTGACCTGTATCGAGTCCACGCATCGCATCCTTCACGTTCCGTCCTTTCTCAAGGAGCTGGACGAGTTCTGGGCGCAGAGGGACAATCCCGATTTGGTATCAACTGGCTTTATCGTGCAACTTCTCCTAGTTCTTGCCTGCGCTTGGAATCTAGCAGATTTTGATACTCTCCAGCTGAAGAACGAAGCTAACCTCAAGTGCTATACTCCGGTCGAGTGGGTTCTGCACGTCGAAAAGTGGCTGGATAACGCACATATCAAACGGCCAGAGATTACGGCCCTCCGAATACAGATCCTCCTGATCATTGCCCAAAATAGTTTCGGGATGAAACGGAGCCACGCCTGGCTTGCTACGGGAACGCTGGTTAAACAGGCCATGATAGCTGGATATCACCGCGATCCTAGCCGGTACACCGAGATCTCCGTCTTTAATAAGGAGATGCGCAGACGAATCTGGACGACCATTGTCGAACTCGACCTTCAGGTTGCCCTTGAACGGGGAATGCCCCCCTCGATTCAAGAATCGGACTATGATACAGCTCCGGCCTCGAACATCAACGACAATGAAATTCAGGAGACCAGTACAGAGCTTCCCGGAGAGAGACCGCTCCATGAAATAACCGATTCGTCCTTCCAAGCAGTCCTAACACAATCACTCCCATTGCGCCTCAAAGCGTGCGCTCTGATGCATTCTCCTCGGATCAGTTGCCGCTACGAGGAGATTCAACGTCTGGACTGGGAGCTCGGGAGATATCTTCAGAAGATCCCGGCTTGGCCGACTGCAGAGAATGACGACTATCAGAGCAAGAACAAAGTCACTCTACTCAAATCGCTCCTGGAAACGAAAATCGCTCACAGTCTTCTCTCCGTTCATACCCCCTTCGCAATCGAAGCCCCACGGGAGCCACTCTTTGCACCCTCTGCCCGATCACGCCTAGAGGTTGCCACCCTCATCCTTTCCAACCAAAAGCGCCTTCATGAAACGTCGAAACAATTGTCTCTCTGTAATTTTGGGGAATGGACCATGCAGGCATTCTGTACAGTATGTCAGATATTGCACGCGGGGAGTAGCACCCACGGTGAGTGACCCGCCATTTGCGAATTTCAAGGAGTTGGCTCGACGCCATTACTAACATTTACTCGCAGCATCTTTTCCTACCTTCCTCCCTCACACACTACCGGGGCTTCCCGAATCCCTCGTCTCGTTGCTCGAGATGGTTTTAGCTTCTGTTGAGACGCGGCTTCTTCTTGTGGTCAAGGGCGCAAAGGAGTACTTCTTCATGTCGACGCTCCTGGCACTGGTCAAGGCGAAATTGTGGCCGGCACAGGCGAATGTCTATAAACAAGAGGTTGTCGACCGGGTGATATATTTTGCGCAAACCCTCTTTTCGCGGCATGCTAATTGCGCGCACTTGGGCGATCGAGGGCAGGGCTGCTTCGGAACAGACCAGGTTATTAACTGGCCGCCTCCCACTTGCTCTCGTCCACTCCGCTGACACACCCTTCTCTGGCAGGTCCCTAGTTTGACATCTGGCCCTGGTATGGCTCCTCCTCTTGCCGCAGACCCGAACGGCGCTCTCCAATCGCCAGGCTTCGGTATCATGGTGAGTACCTGAACCCATCCCAATTAACTCGCATCTCTGATGGCGTGGAATTTAGCCTTATGGAGAGATCGACCCCTTCCTGGAGGTCTTCGACTGGGCAGACTTGACGGGAATCACTCTGGGAGAATGACGTCAAAATGATATGGGCTGGAACCGATAACGATTCGTGATGTATTATTGTTAATTTTCTATGTATACGATATACGAGTATTTGCGGGCCGAGGTATGATCGCGTTCTCCGTCATAGTGGGTTTGGGGATGTGGTCCACCCTTGGCCTACGAAGGTCTGATCTCACTGGGGTTGATCCCGATCGGAACCACCTCTTCCCTGTACATAATGTAGCATGATAACATGATCACTGACGAAAGAAGTGATTTCCCCGAGGATGGAGAAGCATGATCAAGGCAGGGAAGACCTCGACTTGAGCTCAGCAACTAGTTAACCAGTTTGCTGGAGCCTGGAGCCTGGACATCCACTGATCTGCAAGAGCTCCACATGTAAAGTAACGTAGGTAATCAATGTCGGCGGTATTGGCTTCCAGGGCCTAAATAGGAACATTCGATATTCTCAGGTACTCAAAGTAACAAGCATAGTAGGTAGAATGTTGTTTGACTATTTGACCATGTATGTATTTGAATGCTGAAGGTAGGTGCCATGTCTGTAAGGTACCCCTTCCAATCGGATGCTCATAGAGTTTAGGTACCTTACTTTCAGGGCCCATTCTCACAATGAACATTGGCTCTGGCCCCTGATGCTCCGGTGGGGAATCGGCTCTTAGCTCAATCGGGAAAAATGGCACCATCCACGGGGGGTTATTCTGTGATCCAGTTGGGCATCAGCCTACCAGTAATACTGTATTTCAACAAGCTTCTTTTTTAATCTGAAACGTGCACTAAACTGTTTACTCTCAACTAGTGTGGAGCACTGCTGTCTTAGCATGATGTATTATTATTCTTCTTCTTCTGAACTTAGCTGCAGGCTAGTCTAGATACTATCATCACACACTCTCTAGGCATCCATTTCATGCCTTGTGCAATCAGATCTCATCACTGTCTTGGCGTCGGTGACATGGTATCATTCCGTTAACTCGATCACGATGAGCACTGTGTTTTTACTGCTTATATTGTCAAGAGATCGTTAGTGGTCAATTCCCTTAAACTTGTCACATCCTTATCACGACAAAAGAGAGAACGTGACGACGCAATGTTTCGAATACGGCTCCTGCTACATGCCTCCTTACTCTTCCACCAAGCAGTAGTCGGATCGCCATCCTTATCGTCCAAAGAAAAATCAACCCTCTTCTCCAATACGGATAAGTACCCCCTCCCCAACCAGGGCAATGTCATCACCCACGACCCCAACATCATCGAATACAACGACAGTTTCTACCTCTTTATGGGAGGCGTCCATATCCCCATCAGCAAGGCCTCGAGTCTCGACGGGCCCTGGACAAGGGTCGGAACAGTCCTAGACGGACCCAGCATCATCGAGAAACAGAACCGGACTCGACCCTGGGCGCCGACGACGGTCCAGCACAACGGCTCATTCTACTGCTACTACACGATCAGCACCCACGGCAGCCGCAACAGCTCCATCGGCGTCGCGACCACCGATTCCCTCGACAGCGGGAAATGGACGGACCACGGAGCGCTGATCAACACGGGGTCCGGGAACCTGTCGCACATCTACCCCTACAACGAGTCGAACGCAATCGATGCGTCGTTTATTGTGGACAATGCGACTGGGAAGCCGTATTTGAACTATGGCAGTTTCTGGCACGGGATCTTCCAGGTCCCCCTGGCTGGGGATCTGCTCTCGGTTGAGGATGCGGAGCACCCTCGCGCGATCAATCTTGCGTACGAGCCGGCGGAGAAGTTCAAGCCGATAGAGGGGTCGTGGGTGAGTTTCCGGGAGCCGTATTATTATCTGTGGGCCAGTCATGGGAAATGCTGTCGGTTTGGGGACGGGCAGAATGCCAAGGATTTTCCGGCAATGGGTCAAGAGTGGGTTGCGCCTCTGCGGCTTTTATGTCAGGCTGGCTGATTTGGATAGGTATGAGATCCGTGTGGGGAGGTCGACCAGTGTGAATGGGCCTTTTCAGGATAAAGACGGCACGAACCTCACTGACGGCGGTGGGACGGTTGTCTACGCCTCGAACCATGGTGTTGTTTATGCGCCTGGAGGAATTGGTATGTTGCCTGCGAACGAGAAGCATCCTGAGATTCTGTATTATCACTACCGTGAGTCAATTCCTTCACTTTGTGTGTGTTGTACTGACTCGACAGTGAATACAACAATGGGCCTCAAAGATGATGTGAGTAGGATTACGACCAAGCAATGACAGTACTGACATGCTCAGGACGCACACTTGGGCTGGAGTTACCTCGTGTACAAGGATGGGTGGCCAGTAGCAAAGTACGTGCGTTATTCTTCAAGGAGAAGGCATCACTGACCCTTGCAGAGCCGTAGAGAACAGCGGAATAGCCAGTCGTCCGGGCTATATCCTCAGTATATCCGCTTTGATTGGTATGCGTTCTATCAAACTATGCAGACTTTAAGCTAACAAGATACAGTGGCGTATGTTCTGATGTGACGATCTACCTGCATATAGACAAATGGTCCGGCTGTACAACTCTTAAAGCTTATATATACCCTTTCGCTATTTAATGAATGATGACATACATTGCTCATGTGTTACATCTCATAGGTCATATCTCATATCCACCTCAAGGATCCCAACCACCATCGACATTCAGAACCATGCCAGTCGTATAAGACGAGGCATCACTCAGGAGAAACAGCACGGACTGTGCGACTTCATCTGCCGTCCCAATGCGCGGGATAATCGTCGGCATAGCATTCAGCGTACCCTGAATATCACGAGCTTTGTCAAGCAACGGCGTCTGGATACTCCCACTGCAGCACATTAGCAACATCCCAAAAGACAACCAGACAGCAACTTACGGAGCAATCGCATTAACCCTAATAGCCGGCCCAACCTCTTTCGCCACACTCTTCGTCAACCCCACAACCCCATGCTTCGTCGTCGAATACGCCGCATGCAGCGCAAATCCCCTCAGCCCCTGAATACTCGCCGCATTGACGATACTCCCCTCCCCCGCTGTCGCCGCAATACTCCTCACCTCCGCCCGCAGACAATACATCATCCCCGTGAGGTTCACCCTAAGCAGAAAATCCCACTCCTCATCATCCTGCTCCACGAGCTTGCCCACCCCATGCTTGCGCCCAATCGTCCCCGCCATGTTCGCCGCGCCGTCCAGCCGCCCGAACTTCTGCACCGTGGCCTCGATCCACGCATCCACGGAAGAAGAGGACCCCACGTCCACGACTGTTGTCAGGACCGTCTCGCTGTCGGAGCCGAGTTTCGCGAATGCGCTGGTTAGAGCGTTGGCGTCGATGTCGGCGAGGGAGAGGTGCGCGCCGCGGGCGTGAAGTTGTTGCGCGACGGCTAGGCCGATCCCTGCGACGCCGGTGACGGCGTAGACTTTGTTTTTGACAGAGTCCATGACAGGCAATCTTGTTCCTTGGTTATAGATTATACATGTGGTGTTGAAGTGTAGAACTGAGGCTACGTGGTGTTGCAGTCTCGAGAGGGGTAATCGGAGTATGTTCGGGACAAAATGAGGGGATGGAGTTAGCATTTTAGCCATTTATCCGGCGGAGTATGCTAGATGCATCATGCAGATCATGGGAATAATATAGATAGGTGCCTGATTGGCAGGCGGTTGATTGAGCATCCTTCTATGGAGTAAGGAAATGGACGAGAATCTTTGGTAGTGGGTATGCAGCATGACTTGTATGTCTATATTCATGGCACTCCGCATAAGTTGAATTACCTCCCCCTCGTCACCTGCTGCATTCAAACTGGAAACAATCTTATTCAAGCTGCGAATGTTGCATCACAGTAATATGGACTTCCAACAACGAATGGAATCAATCCCTTTAACATAAAACTCTACCTTCCCACCCTTAACCTTACCCCAGTTACACTCCCCCCAGGGCCCCACCCCCGGATTCACCGGCCCCAGCAGCACACCCTGTGTCTGCGTAAGACATCGGGGCAGCGGTGCGGATGTCTTGACGCTAAGCAAGGTCAACATTGCGGACTGATTCTATAGGGACCCAATGGACTAACCCAGTGTTCAATGAACGCAGATTTTGGCCAGGCCATAGGGCCTTCAGCCTCCTCGTCCGTGTCATCCTCAAGTCCAGCCGCTTCTGAAACTCCAGATAGCGCAACAACTCGATTAAGATGCTGTTGCATCCCTAGCAAGTTCCTATTCAGAAGTGGGTGGGTGAGGTCTCCAGAGTGAGCCTGTGGCCAGATTCGACCGTTATGTTCTCGATAATAAGGCGATTGGATGGGCTTCCATCGCTTATGGGGTATTCCTAGAGGTTTAATGGATGATATTGGTCGTTTTGTGACCAGAACGTCATCATCGATGGTATGCCCTCTGGTTCGTTTGCCAGTAGACCTCAATGCCCAGTTTGCGCATCCCATCGTAATATTCAAGTGGCCGAATCTCAAAAACCCGGCCCTCCACATTGCGTGGACCTGCGTGTCGACACACAGAGTCTGTCGTCGAGGTCTTATCATGGATGTGCTGTTTCCAATACTGCGGGATGAACTGGGCTCTCTTTTGCCACACGTATCATTGCAACGAGTCTCTCCAGACCGCATACCCGAAGAAGGGCCCAGAATGTTGCTGAAATGGTACGTTGACGCCTATCTGCTGACACCGCGAAATGGTCAAAAATCGCTTCATTGCGTTTAGAAACTCGGTCGAGGATTCGCGCCACCCGCGTGTTTCCTAGTGTCTGAGGTGGGGCCCCATTGTGCTCTATATGGAGCTTGAGTGACAAGACAGGAGGAAGTTAGATGAAGAGGATATGGTTTTTTTCTAGACAAAGATGGAGCAGATGATTGCATGAAGTATAGGTTGTCTTTGTCATACTTCACTACTCCACTGAGGCACCAAGGTTCCAAGGCAGGCCCAGCCGTTACCAATGCAGGGCGCGGTTTTGGCCTAACGAGCTCGAGGCTCGCACAGATGGAGCTGAATGGACCATAGGTATGGAGCTCCAGGAACCTCTTTGGTGCGTCCGGATTGTGCAGATATCGAAGGTAATGACGGTCGCGAGCTCTGAAATCAGTTCGGGCTTCTTGGCCCGGGTTGTTGAAATGTTCCAAATTGGGAAGTTCCCTGATCGGTCCGGTGGGCCATCCGGGCTCTCAGGTTGCTCGAGAGATTCGGGGCTGCCAGTGCCATGCACAGCTGGAGTGGCCCGCGGCGCCCAGCAGATGTCGATGCCGGGCTCCTCGGCCCAGCAGACCGTCGAAACGTACGGGTTCGCAGAGATCGTGACGATCCACGCACTGCTTGCACTTCGTGGAGGTGTCATTCATAACCTGACAATTAACGAAGAAGGCAATGTGGCTGATGGGATCCCAGTTCTTCGCTGAAGTTCTCAAGCAAGGCATACATCAGAACTTGCGAACAGTGAGGCGATCGGTCGGCTGACCGGGAGTCAATGCCGCCATTTCGCAGACGAAGAGCTTGATGAAGTCGCGGGACGAGATCACAGAATTGAGGTTGATGAAAACGAAGCGAAGCACAGTGGCAACAAAGTCGAAGGAAGGATGATGAAGGAGGGAGAAGTTGCAACAGGTAGTCAAAGAAAACAAAACAAAGACCACTGAACACTTCACATCGCGCTGTGGTTGCTCACGACAACACCATCTACACCAACGACCACTTTACACTAAACAAACAAAGAAGGCAACAAAACCAAGACTTCACGTACGCGCTACAGTGGTGTTTCAACACCAAAGCTGCTGCTCTACCACAACCTCCATGTTCTGCATTATCATTGTTTACTCCTTCAGGGAATCTTGAAGCTATACGAAGACGACTGCGGACAGTCGCCTCAGTGGGAAGGGATGCAGTTGTAACGGATTGGTTGCAGTGTAACTATAGCTTCCCCTCTGACTCCCTATTGCTTGCATATCGTTCCATGTTAGTCCTATGCCTTCAGTCCTCTGTTTTCATGTCCTCAACCTGCTTGCGAGCTGTTACCGCAACCATCTTGATTAGTATTCGAAGCTATGTATATAGGCCCCCTTGTCTGATATTCAGAACGGCAAGGACTAGAGTTGTTGTCAAGTGACCTACTACTTTCAATACTATTCTGGTGAATTCGCACTGATGGGTCCGATCACAAGAGAGGATATCAATTGCGAGCTGATCACTCCGGAAAATTGGAGATACTGTCGTGTGGTCTCACGACGCTGCAGAAGATCGTACAGCTGGTAGACGGTCGAGGTGAAATGGCCATGACTTATACCCAGTGTACTTCAAGCAGATTGTCCCATCTGGATGCAAAAGACCAGGCATGGTTGACAGCGGATGTCTGAAGTGCAGATGAAGTAATGTGAATAGTCCTACTGGGAAAGGTGGCCTGTAGGCTGGGTGGTTACACCTGGCAAGACCATCATGGCAGGTATCCTCGGAAGGTGGTAGGGGCATTTGGAAGCTAGGCGTCTACTCACTAGGAGGATTCTCAGATTGCCCGGATCTATGTCCTGGTGCTTCCATAACAAGAATTTCCTCGGTATGAGGTATTTATGTGGGATGCAGCTAATGTAAAGGCATCATTAGACCCACACTCGACATCAACTGGAGAGTTATTGAGGTATACTTACGGTCTATCCACTAACAAAAGACCGGCCTGCTTATGGAGTTATGACCATTGCGGTGTCCATGAATCGTCCAATGCATGTTGATAGTCGACCTCGCAACAGATGCTACCAGAATGATGACTTTGAGGTGCGATCACCATATCGAGCGGGATCAATTGCAGTTTCAAGGCGCAGTATTGCCAGAGAGACTTGGGGACGAATTGCCGGGGTCCGTTGCATCTATCATGAATAAGAGCGCATGGTCTCATAGGATACAAAGCAGTCAGAAAAATATGCGATGCTGTAGATAAGTGTGCTTTTAGATTTTTGTTGGGTTCCTTTGAGCTAGCTTCAAATTATGTTCAGATCCCTGGAGCCAAGTTGTCGTAGTGCTGACCAAGATACCATGACCAACCGCTGACTATGATCCGATCAGTCACTTGCGACGCTTCTTCTGCCCGCCAGATTTCGCTGATTGACTTCTAAGTGGACGTTTATTCTCCTTGCCTCCTTCAGACGTGGCGCTTGGTTCAGGTGACCCTATGGCAAATTCCCCACCTGCCGCAGCTGTCCTCTTCTGGGCGATCTGAGTCTCGTGGCTTGCCCTGTCAGACGTCTCATAGGCTGGTGTGAGGCCGACTGGGTTGCCGAGAAGCCAACCTTCGAAAAGCTCAAACGGAGCCTCACTGTTCGTTTTGAAGCTGTACATACGGCTGACTCCTAGTGTGAGTTTTCCGCCCTCCAGGTACGCCTCCATGATCCTCCCGTGCTGTGGAGTCATGAAGGATAGAAGTAGAACCTGCTCCAAGTTAGTCTTAGGTGTAATTCAATCAAAGAGGAGATGTGGCAAGCTACTGACCGGGATTGTCTTGTACTCCCTGAATTCAGGCTGAGAATACCGCACTTGCATCGCCAGAAGGATATAAGCCAACTCATGGGTGAGGATGCCGTCGCCAGCTTCTTCCTCGCTGTAATGCGCAACAACCATCGTCACATGCGGTAACCGCTGATCATCGACCTCGTAGAGTGCGGACAATGGGTGTTCTGACCGGCGGCCTAACGGTCTATAGCCCAAGTAAATCTCGGAAAGAGTAGGACTGTCGTCCATGCTATGTAGTAGACGGGTCCATGTAAGACTCTGCATTCAAAGCGTGTGAGACTTCCACTTACTTGACGTAGCTCCATTCTCTAGCTCGTATCAACACTGATTGTCCTTTTGGCATGTCGACTCGTGTAGCATGCCAGATGTGATGGTTTAAGATGATCTCGATTTGCTGCACACGGGACTGAGGGTCAGCCGCTAAGCGCTCTTCGAGGGTTGCCTCGGGACCGGTCTTGGAAGCCACTTCAGCGTCATACTCCTCAAGCAACAGTAGGTGTGGATGCCGCTGCTCGACAAGCTGTCTGTGATAAGGGTCCATAGGATGCTTGGCAAACCAATCTCTGGATATGGCCTGAAAGAAGTGAGGGCGTTGGGCGGAGGTCGAAGGCTCTTCCAGCTCGATAGAAACTACGTTGACGCCTATTTGCTGACACTGCGAAATGGTCAAAATCGGTTCATTGCGTCTGGAGAGTCGGTCGAGGATTCGCGCCACCGCGCGTTTCCTAGTATCTGAGGTGGAGGGCATCGTGCTCTATATGGAGCTTGAGTGATAAGACAGGAGGAAGTTAGATGAAGAGGATGTGTGTATGTTTTCTAGACAAAGATGGAGCAGATGACCGCATGAAGTATAGGTTAGGTTGTCTTTTTGTCATAATTCACTACTCCAGTAAGGTACCAAGGTTCCAAGGCAGGGCCCCGAGCCGGTAACGGCCCGTTGGCCGTTGCTAAGGGACGTCTGGACGTCATACCCGCCTAGCTATAGGGCCAGGGCTCAGGGCAACGGCTGGTGGATCTTTTGTATCACCTACCACCAGCTTCGACCCTCTCACCTCCTCCCCTTTCCTCGACGCATTGATTGTTCTCATGACATGTATGGGAGCAGCTGTAGAGCATCCCACTCAGCATCCTAGCCTTTAGGTATGGTTTAGTGCAGAGAGAATGATGAGCATCAGAAGATACCCTGTTCTTGAAAATTGGATGTAGAAAGACCGTATTAGGGGACTACTTTAATACCAGCCATAAACATTTGCCCTGTAAGTAGAGCACTGTGCTGTGAACCTAGGCTAAATGTTTTGAATGCACACTCCTACCAAAGCTATTTCCCTTCTACATCCATCCGGACTGTACCTTGCTTACTTGCTATTCTACATCCATACGGACTATACCTTGCTTACTTACTCTTCAACATCCTTACGGACCATATCTTGCTTCGTTTCTCTTCATCACATCGCTCATACAGAAAAAAGGACAAAAAAAACGCTTCTCTGCTGCTTCTCTGCTGCTTCTCTGC